TACTAACCCCAAAACACGATGACGACTATTCTAGTAGAAAATACACTCACTTATATACTGATTGTACACCCATTTTGAATAATAATTAGAATGTAATTCACATATATGAAAAATAATTAGAGTTATAAGAAATCACATACTGAGCATAGTTCATTTCAATGGAGTACACGAATATCGTATATTATACAGAATAAAATATCATACAAAAAAAGAAAATAAACACTACACTGAATGGTCATCACATTGAATCAGAACGGAATTTGTGTTGAACAAAACTCATAATGAGTAAATCAATCGAAAATTGACTTTTCTTTCCATCATATCAGAATTGTGCATTCATGGCTACCTAGAGGATCGAATCCAACACCTTCAGATCTCCTAGCTAGTGTAAGATCTCTAGACTGCCGAGTTAGTGTATTAGTTACTTCAATCAATTCGAGGCAACATTCAACCTTTTCCAAAGCCATCGGTAATACCTTCCTCATATCAGCCCCACTCCTCGATATGAACATTCCTGTATTACGTTGAAACAGTTGTTCATTACTTTGTAATTTTTAATGGCTGTTTAACTAATGTTAGTCTATGTTGTGAACTAGAACATTCAACAATTGACATAAACCCCTCTATACCAATAATATACCGTTTATTAATGGCGTATAGAATAAATATTCACTTTAGAATGTTCACAAAAAATTTTTCATTAAGTAAGCATGTATTTGATTAAATTTCTTTTCTTTTTAACGGGAATGGTATACAATTATTTTCGATTTGTAAAGTAATTCATTTTTCTTTTTAGTAATAATACGTAAATGTTGTACTCAGGGTTAACGAATAAACACTAAAATAAGATTAGCCCTGGTTTCTAGTTTAAAGCAAATCTGATAACGCTATAAACCATTGAGTTACATAAACTTTAGGATGTCATTTGACAAAATTTGATATATCAATATATACCACTCACATACAAGTATCTTTGATTAAACTGACAACTTCTCTACTTTTCCCACTGTTATATCTAGAGCTCAGATTATCAATGTATCGCGTATAACTTGAGCACTCAAATGCTAGAGCCCTCTAAGTTGCAAATGGGAAGACAGATGACAAGTGAAAGGAATGCTATTCTAAAGTGTCAAATATGGTACAAAACTATCAGGTATTTATAGTTTTCTAGTAAAAACGGAATCATCATTATAGTCATCATTATAGTCATTATAATCATCCGGAGTGTTCTTCCAAAAGATGATTGGGTGGAATATCTTCGGCTCTTTCTGAGCTTCTTCGAGTTTACTCGTGGGCTGTCCTCACACCTCTCCTCTTTAAAGTCTGCTGTGTAATACTTTTTCCTCGGGTCCACCTGAAACTTGGTTATCGCATTTCCCTTGCGGTCCATCACTCTTGAAGGTTGTGCCGCCTTGTTCTTACGTCTTTTATCTCTTCTGCATTCGTTCTCCTTAGGGCATTTTTGAGATGAATCTACGAGCATTTGAAACGGGAGTCTGCTTTGCGTGATCAATGTTCTGCCATCCCTTTGAATTTGATTTATGTGTCATATATGTTTCGACATTTATCCGGACTAGGTACAGTGCATTTCCAGTCCGACGTTCTATAAACTCTGGTTCTTACTTCCTATTACCTTGGTACGATTTGAAAAGTACCATTTCGACCACCTGGAAGCTAAAAGTGACCGTCCAATATTCGTTCGTGGATTCAGTTCATGATTTCAGTGAAATCCATCAATCTCTACAGTCCTATACTGACAAAATAAATATGTCGCTATTTATTTCTCCATCATTCTTGTAGTAATAATCTTAAATGTGAATGTGCAATCTACATTTTATAATTTACATCACGAACAGACCTCAGATAATCGTTGGGAATCAGAAAGCACTGAGTATCTTCCAACGGGTATCTAAGGTCAGCCAGTGAGTGATGTGAAAAATAAAATTCATCAATCTCTACAAATTTGTTGTAAAACTTATACGTTAGTCTGTGAGGAGGATTTGAATGGAAAGTAATAGGCATTTGATCAGACTTTTATTCAGATCGGTTAATATTCCCTCTTCAGAAACAAATCATTTTTCAACAACACTGAGTATGAAACAGAAAGACGACAGTTTTGTAGAATAGGTATCTAACGATTAAATATTTCACAAAATATCAAGTAAACTGAATTAACGTTCACCTAATAAGCTGCATTACGATTTCGACTGACAATTAATCATAAGAAGTGATGCTTACTTGAATGTTGTATCATTACATTAGTTGTCTTGGATTAATTCCATGCAAAAAATTTTATTTACCAGATAATTTAACAACTAGATGGCATTTCGTAAAACAGAGGAGCCCCCGAATGCCCTGCTACGGCCGAAGGTGGGGAGAGTCAGCTCTCCCTCGAGAAATACTCTCAAGTGCCCACATGGATACAACTGCTGCCAGGGAAGTCTTACTCACTGCCTTCTCGCGGCATTACTGTTGTTTACGAATTTGAGAGGACGAAAAGCGAATGTCCGGAGCCTTAACCGGGTTGATGGATATGGAGGGTCAACCTAGGGGAGTCGGAAAACCCTCATTCCAAATCGAAGGTGCACATGGGCTCCAGGATTCTCGGGAAACAAATGACGTATGAACGCATTATTGATCACCGACTATCATAGGACTGCATCTCCTGGCGTTGTGTCCATTGCCTTTTGAATTAAACCTTTGGATCAAAGGCTTCGAGTGCCGTCCCCCAAGAAAACCACCTGCTGCAGTTTGGGCACCCGGACAGTTTCCTAGCCCTCACACAAACCGGATGATTTATGTGACACATATATAATCGTTATCCCTTTGTACCAATGTTTACGGGTTTAAATAAATAATAAATAAATCTAAATATTCTAAAGTTTAAAATCCATTATTAGTGTGAATAAAAAAGAATATTGTAGTAAAAAGCACCAAGATATTGATACAGAATAAAGTATATATCATAATTTAACTAAAGGGCCTAGAATTACGACAAAATAATGAGTTCTTCACTAAATCGAACAACGGTAAACAATACAGAATAAAGGAATCAGGCTATAAAAAATAGTAATTCAATCATTTTTTTGTTGAGATCGTGAACCGATCTAAGCTAGATCACCATTGAAAACCTGAAAGCACTGAATGGTCGTTTTGTCCTAATATGGGAATCCTTACCAATGGACATCCATGATTCCACAAGCAGGAATCGAACCCATCACCTTCTCTGTCGGACGCGAGCGCCTAACCTGTAAACCACTGCGCTGGCATCCAATGGTGTTAGTGTCTAATGTCAATCGTTTCAATCATTTTTGGATTGCTATTAGTTTTTCAAATGACTTTAACTGATGTTATGGAAGTGAATTTAAAATATCAACTACTTTTAAAGGCTTCACATAATTATCAATAATTTCTATCTTTGATCTTATAGTCTCTAAATATCAACAGTTTGAAGTACATCCACTTATGATAAATTTAAAAACGTGGTAAAATAATGATAAACCTAATTTGTCTGTAACACACTTTAAGTTTAGACAAACTTGGTTTTAAACGAAATTTTTTCAAGGTTGACCAAAAATGACCTTGGCAATGTGTGCCAAAAAAAAACATTAAACTATATATATATACTAATTTTATGTTTGCCAAGGTCCCAGTGTTGATTAGGTCCTGTTCATCCAATTCTATGAGGAGTGTCTATTACCTCAACACTGATAGTGCGTGTAAAGTACAAGTAGTAACTAGCAGAAAACCTAGATACACGCGGCCTGCTTGAGCATCTGGGCTATCTGTTCCTACCATCTAGATATTTCAACAAGTTATCTATTTTTGTTTGTTTTAATATATCATTATGTTTATTAATCGTATAACCTATTCTGCTGCGTTTCTGAAAAGTGTACAACCTTTCGTTGTCAAAGTTACAAAAAACTCAATAAGAGACAATATACAACGAAAAGAATGTACATTATTCAGATGTTCATTTAGTGAACTGCTAACATCTAACTGGCGATCACTCAATATTTATCGCCAGGACCGACCAAGAAGTAAGAAACGGAAACTTGTTGAAATACTTTGCGCTGAGAATTCTATATTGTACCAAAAATATAATACTGAATAAAGCTGATAATAATAATAATAATAATAATGCACCACAACGGCCGTCTAGTGCTTTCAGATTTTCCATGGTAGTCTAGCTTCAATTAACTTATGAATTCAACTATTAAAATAAAAATAATTATTTGATTCTTTTGTTAAATTAAAAAATTCATATTAGAATGGACTAGAATGAAGAATGCGGAAAATTTTGTCTAGACTAAATGAATAATAATGATAATAGTATGGATCAATCAATGTACAATATAGGATAACTGAATTTTCATTTTGAAAAGACTTCTTTCAACCATCTACTCACAATTCTTTATATCAATTATTTAAGGCAACAATAAATATCAATTACTTAAATGTATTTATATATATATATATATCAAGATAAAATGTATTCTATATAAGATGGATAGATAAATAATAGAACTTTAAAAGGGAACTGAATAACTTTATAAATGAATAGAATAAATGTAGACATACACAAACACCCACACAAAGAAAAGAAACACTTACCTTATTTTTAGTACGTCTAATATCAAATGCAAGTCGATGGCATAAATCATATAATTTACGTCCTGATGGACTTAATTTATACAAATCAGGAAATATTTGTGATTCTGATTGAGTTAAAAGTAATTTAAAAATAGGTGAAAAAAATGATACTGATGTATGAGGAGGATTAGATGATTTTTCATTTAATAATGACTTTTTATTGTTATCATTATTATTATTATTATTATTATCACTATGTATATTACAAAATAACAAATTATCTTTGGGAAGATTCTCTACAGAAGTATACATATCGGATGGTTCAGCAAATTTTTCAATTAAATTATTTATGATCATTTCAGCTTGTTCGATTTTCATTTCAGCATAAACACATTTAATTGCATCAATTAAACTTTCCACATTATATTATTATTATTACTATTATTATCATGAGTAGTATTAGTATCGTTTTTATCACAGAAATAAGAGATATTAGACAAATTGTCATTTGATAATATTTCTTTATTACAACATTTTGAAATTAGGTGATCATCAGTTTGTATTCCAATACTGACAAATAATGATTTTTGTTTATTCATTATTGACGGCAAGTATTGATCAGCATCAACATCACCATCATCATCACCATTTTTATTATTATTATTACTATTATCAGTATTTCGTGTAGGCGATATTTCATTAAATATGCATGAATCATTTATTGGTAATAGATTACTTTTTAAATAGGAATGATTAGTTAACATTGTTGAAATATCATTATTGTTCTGATGAATATCATTTGTATTCATCAGTTTGTATTGTGAGGTTTCTTGTTCTAGATTACAATCATGATTTATTGAATGAGAATTCGAATAAGGATAATGGCATGTTTTAGTAGACCAACCATTTGATTTAATTTCATTTTTTGAAATACATTGTACTTCCATTGAAATAGCAGGTTTAGTAAAGGAATCTATAATACAGAAAGAAAAAAAATGAAGTAAGGCGTCATAAAACGCTCTATTATTATTATTGTTATAAATATTACGCTTACTAGTTGTTCGATTAACTTTCACTAAGAACTGATGAGGTCACTACAATATGAACAATTTCTAGATTGAATCTTGTGTAAGCTCGCGAGTGAGTAAAAATGAGTAACTGTGAACAAAGACGGTAATCCGACCGATATCAGTTCATGATTTTAGAAAGATCACCTTCAAACTAAGTAAATTTTTATTAATGAATTGGTTATGAGTAGCATTGGAAATCAGGACTGACTTTTCATACAATTCAGGCTCAGTCAGCTGGAACATCAACAATAGGATGGTTCAAATCACTACTGAAATGAATTTAGACATCATGCCTGTTCCTCAAGCTAATGGTTATCTGAATTCAGTAGCTCAGTGAACAACACTTTGGTGGCCTGAAGCAAAAGGTGTTGTATTCGAATCTCAGGGTGAACATTAACACTGGGTTATAGGTACATTTAGCCTACAAGTCACAAATAGAACAAAAGGCGTGTAGCAGATTCTGTTGTCAACAATAACTCAACTTCCCTGAAGAACAAAATGGTTTAAAAAATATGATTAAAAATGAAAGTTTAACAATTGGGAGATATAAAAACGCAGTAATAAAAATTTTTAAAATTCTTTCCAAATAGCACCTTATTTCTCGAAAGTTTACATCAGTTAGTCAGTCATCATCATTGTAGAGTCTGACATGTATGTTGGGCCAAGTCATTATATTATATTTACACAAGCGAATGGAATTGGCAAACTGAATAGCAAAAAAGGACTGAAATAAGAGAGTAGAAATGATAAAAAGAAAGACTAAGCATTTGGAATATGATTCGAAAAGATAGTGTAGAAGATTGTAAATAGAGAATTCGAAATCAGGATGACAATGGGAGATGGTCACGTAATATTGTGGATTGATTGAACTTAGACATTAACACCACTGGATGCCAGCTCAATGATCTACAGGTTAAACGTTCGTGTCCGAGAGATAAGGTGATGGGTTCGATTCATTCTTGTGGGATCATGGATGTCCACTGATAAGGATTCCCATATTAGGACAAAACGACTATTTAGTGCTTCCAGGTTTTCACTGGTTGATCTAATATTGGTCTGTTTATGATCCCAATAATAGTCAACAATCTCCATAACCATATTATGAAACTTGAAATTTACTAGTGAAGAACTTAAAGTGAAACATCACAGAAATAGACAATTTATATTTATTCCTATTGATCGCATTACTACTGTACACTATTACTGTATTTATTTAAACTTGAAATGGAATCAAAACAACTATTTTCTCATTTATCTTTAATTTTAGAATTTGCTTAATTATTACTATTATTATATCATTTTTCACTCCTTTATCTTAAACCATATTCGCATATTTTACTTTTAACATTTTCCTATTATCTAACACTGTACTAATTTCAAATGTGACAATTTGGACTGATACATGTTTATGTCATATCGTTTGTTTATAGCTGATTTAGATTTAGAATAAGCATTTGTGAATTAAATGAATCTTGAGCATCGATTGGATAACTCATTTTTATTATAACGAACTTAAGGGACATGGTGAATGATCTTGAACTAGTTATGCTCCATCAATATATACGAAGACCGCTCAAATTACCCGTTCAATGAATTAAATAAATTTAGACAAATTCAATAATTTTACATCATTTAAAGTTCGTTTTTCTCAAAATTTATTATGAATATTTGTTATCTTAAAATCAGAGTATTTTTACCATAGAAACTTATGAATTTAAGAGTAGATTGGTTTGTGTTTCAGTTAGTTAATACATAATCAATAATTTCATAGAATATTCCCCCTAGTTTTCATAATTTTTTATGTGAAATCACTCAGTCAGTCAGCCAGTAACAACGTGGAACTTCGTACTTACGTACATCAGTTCAAGTTGCCATATCATATCAACACACAGATACAATTGTCGATTGAAATCACATAGTGGTAGAGGTAGTAAGAGTATAGACAGTAATTGGAGAGATTAGGGTTTGAAGATGTTATTCAAGGAGTATAATCCAGTCAAATAAATTTGGAAAGAGAAAAAAAGGGACATTGAGAATTTAGAAGGTTAGAATTTGTGAGAACACAAAAAGTGGATACACCTGCTCCATCGCAAACAATTTTGAGTCATGTCATTCAAGGTCTCTAACCATCAGTTGCTGTCGTCTCGCGGATCCCAGCCAGGTAGTCTATACCTACCAACATGACTCAGTCCACTTGTCAGTGACTGTGAAAGATTGATAAAATAACGTTGTGATAACACTTTTGAAACTATGTATTTGAAAATTCTAATCATTTCAAATATTTGTATTACATAAGGGAGTAATACCATAATTTTCTTGAAAATTCATTCTGAACAAAGGAAAGTGGAAAAAAATTATTATTATTGTTATAAAAAATAAGGCTAAAACATAAGAAATAATCCATTGTGTATGATTTCGGTTATCGAATACCGTCAAAATATATTATTACACACGATGTTGAGTCACTGAGACTAGTTGTACCATTGTAACGTGCTCAATAATACTCGATCATCACTAAGGGCTAAATAAACATGATATTGACTACTACTCAGTGATCAATTAATGTATATGCTTCAGTTGTAAAACGAATAGCTCTGTGGTAATTTATCAGAATGTGGAACTGATGGGCGTTGATTATAAATACGCCTTGTTGATGACTGTTAACCAGCAGAAAACCTAGTTCAAGTAGGGTTTTATGTTTAATGTCTTCAACTGCCTAACATCAAATTTAAACTACCTACTTAAATAATTTAGATATTTTGAGAAATATGCACATAAATCACACAAGTAGGAGTAGTAATTCCACGAGTGAAAATCAGCATTACAGAAAACAGATTTCTGTAAAGCTGTCTATGCTAGACTTTATTCCTTATAAGATAGTTAGCTACATTAGACAGAAGACAATGATTATGCTCAAGTTCTTTCCAAACACTCACAATGAATTGCTTTTTGTAGGACTGCATAGAACAAGGAATTAAAAATAATTAATTATGAATTCTTCATGTTTACAATGTCCGACTATTTCTATATGCATTTATCACTATTCTCGTGGAAACTGATACACACCCAGAAAGAACTACTAAGCCCGGTGTTATTTTATCAAGTATTTTCCAGCCAAACGTTGTCTCATTTATCAAATACCGGATATAAAATTGATAGGCAATTAGCATTTAACAGTGCATAGAGTGTGGTGACAAAGCTCTCAGGATTTCTGATTCTCTACCTAATAAATTAAGCGCACAAAACTTTCATATTCAGTCTCTTCCCCTCTTAGAGCCTTCACCGATCAACGAATCATTCATGCCTTGACTGATTTAGGAAATTGTGAACATTACCTCTATGCGTATTCTTATCACTCAGTTCTTGTTACTATTATTACCAATCTCAATGAATACATTAGCCACATAGCTAATTGATGATTCATTAGTTTTGTTATTCCTCTACCCTACACATAGGTATGAGGTTTTTTTATAAACAGTGTAAATACTTGCATAACTATTATTATTATTATTATTATTATCATCAGTATGATCATTCTCTAATTCACTCTATTATCACAACACTTCAAATGTTCTAAATGAATATCCCGATTCATAATTGTAAAGGTTGATGAAGTGTTACTAAATATACTGACTTTGATTGAGTTTTGTCCTCTGAGCTGAATGGTTTGATCGTGGAGCTTTCATCGTTCTTCTGAACGACATCATCAACACAAACTTCAGATAGACATCTATACTGACTTACTAAAATTGCCATCTCAATTCATCAGAATAGGGAATATTCAAATCTCTATAGTTTATACTTTGTAATTTGTTATTAATAACCTAAAATACTATTAGCCAATTTATTTTTAAAGATGAATGTTAGGTTTTACAATTATAAAGATTTAAAATAAGTTATGTAACTATTATTTAAGTATAATAATTTCAGAATTAAACAGTCATATTTAATCAACTTGCTTCCATTTCACTTATAATCATCAGCAGCAGCAGCACCACTAAGATCTATAATGTATTATATAATGTTTTATAACCTCAGAAAGATCAATAATTTTTTACCATAAGACAAAAAGAACAATCATATTATATAGGGGTTGTGATTTTGGAACTATTCGACTGTTTAAGATAGTAATCATTATAGAATAAAATTGGCTGAAAATTATAGAAGCACTAGATCATTGTTTCGTCTTTTTTTTTAAATTCAGTATCTTAAATTACTGAATACATTTTTGTTTCAATTCATAATCTGAATTTATTTAAGCCTGAACAAATCTAATACCAATATTTAGATCATTTTATGATCTCTAAGAAAGTACAATGATTTCTGATTAAGTTTCATAAAGAATTAATAGTTTACATTCTATAAATATAAAAAGAATCTCTAATAAACTTGAATTTTAACCAATTTATTAAACGACTATCGTAAACAATTGTTAGAGACTCTTGGTGACATGGCTCAGAATCGATCACAATGGCATCGGTGTATACACTCTCTGTCTTCCCTTAAACTAAGAAATTAAAATCGCTTCATATCTTTCTTTCTATGAACTAATTCTTTCTTCCTGTATTATATCCTTATTGTAATCTTCCTTTTATATATTACCACCACTGAACTGACTACTTTTATGAATCCGGTGTCCAGCTTGTTGTGTTAATGAGGTATGGCAACTTGGACCGATGCATATATGTGCCTGGTCCTACGTTGTAGCTGACTGACTTGAAAATTGCTTAAAGACAAAACTATCATCAAAATTGATAAGAATGATTACGTCATTGAGGAATTCTTAAAAGTAGTATATAGGGATAATATTTAACATATTACATAATCAAGATATTTGATTTAATTCAATTGATTGTGACAATTAATTAGAAAATCACAAGTTGAATTTTTATTATATCTATTT